CGCGTGGACACAGGTGTGCGCACGCCCCCCCACGCCGTGCGCGTGGACACAGGTGTGCGCACGCCCCCCCCACGCCGCCGTGCACGTAGACACAGGTGTGCGCACGCCTCCCCCACCCGCCGCCATGCGCATGGACACGGGTGCGCACGCCCCCCCGCCGCCGTGCGCGTGGACACAGGTGTGCGCACGCCTCCCCCACCCGCCGCCGTGCGCGTGGACACAGGTGTGCGCACGCCCCCCCTCGCCGTGCGCGTGGACACAGGTGCGCACGCCCCCCCCGCTGTGCGCGTGGACAAGGTGTGCGCACTACCCCCCCACGCCGCCGTGCGCGTGGACACAGGTGTGCGCACGGCCCGAGGCCGCCCTCCCTCCGTCCCCAGCCGCTGCCCGCGCGGCTCAGGTGCGAGGCGGGGGCACCCGTGCCGCGGGGCCGGCCCCTTGGCCGGACAGACACCAGACTTTTCCAGGTCCGCTCAGTTCGCCACGGACGCCCTCCCTACAGCTGAGCCCCAGCTCGGCCCCAGCTCGGCCCCAGCTCGGCCCCTCACCTCCCCGCGCCGAGCCTTCGCCGCCCAACGGTCTTCGGAGCCAGCGCTAACGGCCCACACGTCCCGGAGCCCCGCCCCGCCCCACGCAAACACAAACCCGGAAGCAGCTGCGACGGAAGCGGAAACGCTCGTTGGCCGAGGCGAGCCCGCGATACGGCGAGCCCGCGACGCGATTGGCTGCGCGGAGGGCGGGGCCTGCCTACGCCCCCTGATTGGTCTGTGGCGTGAGGGCTTTGCTCCGTTGCGGGAGTTCCGCGGTCGGTGGGCCGCGGGGTCTCCAGTCCGCTCCGCCCGCCGCCGAGGCCCGCGGGCCGGCCGGTGAGTGCGACTGCGCCCCGGGGCGCGTCGAGCGCGCAGACCCCGCCTGTCGCCGAGTCTGGCTCGTCCTTTCCTCCCTTCCGCCCCGCGGCCTCCGGAGTCCCCTGCCCTCCCCGGCTCCACAGACTTCGCACTTTCCTCGGGATTCCTGCCGTTCCGGGGGCCCTGCAGCCGGGTGTCCCTGACACCTCGGGGTCCCCAGGCTCGCCCAGGGTCCCGTGGGCAGGGACGTGGGGGCCTC